ACGGCGTTCTTCCTTTGCACGGCAGCATAGTAGATCGAGACAATCAGGAGGGCGGACATGAAATTTTTGACTAAAACTCCACATTTTTATGTTTATTTCGTCACATTTCGAGTTTCAAGGGGTGCTTAAGGAAGAAAATTTTACAAGTACAGAACCAATGGAATCACCTTTAGAACGTCAAATTGTGTATAAACGGAGTTAAGGTGATTCGATGGACGCCATATTTTGTGCCAGAACGGCATGCGATATATCGCATCAATTGGTCCCATTTTTTCAGCTACTAGTCATTTTTCTCCAATTTTGAGATCGCAATTCTGTTGTCAGGAGACTAAAGCACTCACTGTCCATTGTTAACAAAAAATTTAACGTAATAAAGGCGTGGTTTTTTTAGAGAGAAAATATCGCATTCGAGTGCAGTTTCGATATCAGTATCGAATGCGATGTTTTATCTCTAAAAAAAACACGCCTTTATTACGTTAAATTTCTTTATTAAAATTGGTAAGTGAGTGCTTTAGTCTCCTGACAACAGAATTTCGATCTCAAAATTGGAGAAAAATGACGAGTAGCTGAAAAAATGGAACCAATTGATGCGATATATCGCATGCCGTTCTAACACGAAATATGGCGTCTATCGAATCACCTTAAAGGCGTTTAGAGTGTCCAAATTTTGTCGACCTCTCCCATTGACTTGATCCACTTTGCGGCAGAGCGCCCGGTGGGCAATACGGGAAGTTCTATTTTTCACGGAAAAAATTGATTGCTGATTTTACCATTTTGTGGTTAAAATCATTGTCCGACATGTTCCAATGTAGTCCGTACTAAGGATAAAATTCCGATAGTCAATTTATTTTTGGAGCCATAAACGCATATTTTACCTTGCGATTTTCAAATATTTTAGATTACGTCACAAAAAAAATCTTCTGAAAAATCTCGAAAACAATATTGACAATTTTCCCAGTAAATTCGGTTTTATACTGGGAGAAATATGGCAACGTCTGAAGGATCGTGCGGCGTTTTCCTAAGCACGATAGAACAGTCATCTGTCTAAAAAAGAACCCAGTTCATTCGCGGAAATTCGTCTATAGTCGGTGATGGTTTCCTTAACGGCTGTTGAAAGTTCCATTTTTCACGGAAAGATATTGATTACTGACTTAATAATTTTTAATTAAAAAAGGGTCCGACATATTTCAATGTAGATTATACAACAACAAAAAATGCCGTTGTTAAATTAGCAACAAATGAGACTAACGAAACCGACACAAAGTTGATATGGAGCAAGGGAAAGGATGCGTGTTGACGACGGCGCAGAGATACAACTATTCGTGCTTGATGGATGTCCATATTGCGTCTGCAAAATTGAAGGCGCGATGGCGCGAGGCGTGAACTCGGAGTGCTCCGCTCTTTGTTGCTAGAGAGCTGTTGCTTAGCTTCTGGAGAGAAATTACAAACGAGACATTTCTCATATCTTTTGCTGTGTCACTGACGTTCACGTAGACCTTTCTTCGTTACAAATATAAAACGAAAACATTGTAACGAATATACAACGGTCGTTTATATTCGTTACGAATATAAACGAACATCGTTATAAACGAACACAAGAAAGCAAGATAAACGTCGCGCGTCAACGACGGCGCAGAGATACAACTATTCGTGCTCGATGGATGTCCGTGTTGCGTCTGCAAAATTGAAGGCGCGATGGCGGAAGGCGTGAACTCGCGATGCTCCGCTCTATACTGCCATTACTGCCAATGAGGTGTCGCTCATATTTCAGCGCAGAGTTAAAAAACGAGTTCCGATTACATCTCTGCTACCCTCTGATGTGTTACTCGACACGGATCTCTTGAAGCATCACCAAAATCAAGACAAACGAAAACAAATACAATACGGAAATAAAGAGCAAGGAAGAATGCGCAATGAAGACGGCGCAGAGATACAACTATTCGTGCTTGATAGATGTCCATGCTGCATCTACAAAACTGAAGGCGCGCTGGCGTGAGGGGTGAACTCCTGCTCAGTACAACCCGCTAGTCATATGTTTTTAAGAAGCTTTGGGTCAGTTATTTGGGAATCTTAGCGTTAAAACTTAGTCTTCCTTAGCCATCTATACGTATATTTTTCCTGTTTAAGAGCGTCCATTTAATATGGACCGCTGAAATTGTGTTAAAATGTTTAAAGCAAAGTCTTCTCTAATTTTGATGATCGAAAGATCGAATATGGGACAACTTTGACAGCAGGTTTCCTGCATCTGATTATTATTCCCAGGTTTCACCGTATGTAAAAGTGTGGCAACACTTAAACCAGCAAAATCCACTGTTTGTCTCCTGAATGCCGTGCCAATACCATCAGTGACCGGTGGTAACATAGTAGCCGAAGAACTCGACTCAACCTTTCGGATCAGGAGGACCATGCTATAAATTGATGAGTCGTTCTCGTGATTACCTCATCAACCTGTCCCTCGCTCAATCAATAACATCACCCGAACGGCATTGGAAGCGTTTCGGCTACTGCATTTTAATCGGTTAACAAAACTTGGCGAGCCAAACCCACAGAGGCGATTCTTTAAAGTTGGCAACACCGTTTTCCCTCTATTTAAATGTATGAAAAACAATCGATTCTTGGCGAGGTAGCTTGTCTCACCTAAGATCGATATTTTTAATGGGTTTAAATAGAGGAAAAACAAGGTTGCCAACTTGTGAAATCGCCACTGCAAATGATGACGATGGAGAGTCTAATGGTTAAATTATTGCAAACGAGGATATGTCCACGGATGATTATTCCCGTACCCCTCCCTTCCCATATTGGAACTTAATTATCATTAGACCTTCTTTTTTCTTATGTGACCTTTATTTCTAATATATTTTGATGCTTCGAGTACGATAATCAATGCACTATTAAATAAATTTCTTCAGTAAAAAAAAAAAAAAAAAAAAAAAAAAAAAAATTATTCAACATCTTGGCAAGCGTTTAGTTTATTCAATAACATGTTGAAAAAATGCAAGGCCATGAACCTACTTTACAGTGCTTTAAATGGAGAAAAAAGGTTTAAAATTCCAAAATTACGTAGCAATTAAAATTGTATAAAAATGCACATTAATTGAAGGGGGTGGAGTGTGCGTCACTTCCTTTAAAAAATTCAGTAAAACTTAGGGTGCTGGGGTAAGTGCTAACGTTCTACCAGGTGCCCTTGCCATTAACAAGGAGGCTAAATTTGCGTTATGAGGGGGTAAAAAGGACACAAAATTACTTTGAGTGTAATACGTAGGAAAACGTTGTTTAAAAATTTGGGGTGAAACGCGAAGGAAAAGACACGATTGGAGGCTCGATCGAAAGCCTCATCGAAAAAAGTCACCGGACAAAAGGGCAGTGGACAGGTGAGGACACGTTGAGGTAGGCCTGGAATCCACAACTGGCTATTCCGTCCATAAGATGAGAGGAAGGGGGGGGGGTAACGGGGTGGGGATATTGAGGGGAGAGGATAGGGGGAGCCCGCGTACGCAAGGAACAACCAAACGATCGTGGAGCAACAGGTTTTGAGGGTTACAACTTGCCACGCTGCCAGATTGAACTAGCCGAATCAAGCCGATCAAGCCGAATTTTCCGATCCAAAAGTTGATTTAGTCTCGTTATCACCACCCTCAGCACCTGTTGTCAATTGCATATCGACTATGAAACTACAGTAGAAAAAGCAAGGGGGAAAACGGGAAATGAGGCTCAAATACACAATTAATAAAAATAAAAAAAAATCCCGTTTTTCCCCCTTGTTTTTCCACTGTTACCATTGTCTCGGGCTGTTCTATAAAAATTTGTATCTAAGAAACTACTGGAACACGCGTATCTCGTTTGCGGTGTTTAAGAACCTCCGCTCCCATTTTACTTTTTTGGAAGGAGAACAAATCAATATCATTCCTTGAAAATTTCACAGAGTTTTCCTTGTACAGCGAAGAATAATTACAGAAGTTGTCGAGGATTGACATTGAGTCATTTTTCATTTAAAAAATAAAGTATGGCGGGAAGTCTGCAACGTCGCAAACGGATGTACGAGGTCTAGCAGTTTCACCGTCGATATGGCACTTACATGATGCGCGGACCCTCAATTTCAGTTTTGTGCGGGAGATATTTCGACGATCATAATATATGAGTTTTCAGCGTTATTCAGTGCGGATCCAACTTTTCAAACACGGAAAATTGTTGGTAGCATAATTGAAAAATGAAGGCGAATCAATCTCTGTGTGATCCAAAATGTAGTAAATTCAAGCAGTTCTCAAAAGGAAAATGCCCGAATGCAAAACAATAAATCTCTGTGGCATCATGCATACGATACGTTTTCAAATCATTATTATACGCATAACGGAGAGACTTGAACGCAGGGGTAGAAAAGTAAGAAAAGTAATTGGATTACATTTTGCACTAATTAACTTATTATTTTTTACTTATCTACAAGAACACCTATAGTTTATGATAATTAACGGCTTCAACGTTATCGGAGACTTAAACGCCAGGGTTGAAAAGTTGGAAAAGTATTTGGACTACATTTTGCAACAGGGGGCTACTATTTCTGACTCTAAGCAGGATTTTTTTGAGGGTTGCAATTACGCTTGCAAAATTTGTACCCCTAGGACCTAGGGGTCTTACGCGTCAAGGGGTCTGCATTCAAGGACCTAGGGGTCCTAGGGATACAAGGACTATACTCGGTACTGGGAAAAATATTGATATTATCAACATTTTTCCTTACTTCGTAAAAGGGATTTTTCCTAGTGACAAATCCCGTGAAACGGCCCGTGGAGACAAGGCCTTATAAAGTGTGACGAACTTCCCCCGAAAAAGGTCCATTAAATGTTCGTCAACGGCAACAAGGGAAGTTTCGCGGGCCCGAGATGCGGACGGCCTAGGACAACTCGGAGCGGACAGGGGGGCGGAGGGGGGGACACCGGTTAAAAGGCACAAACACGGCTGAATGTTAGCTATGAAAATCGGTTGCTTTACAGCAAAAGACAGGTGGATTATGTTGAAAATGCGAGGATGCTTACTGGAAGTAATTTAGACGTGTTCCCGGTCGCTCTTTTAATTGGTAATAAGCCGGGGCCGGCGTCGGGGGAAAGCGGGTGGCGCGGTGGTTGGATTGGGGAATGTGGATCGGCGGAACCGGGGTTCGATGCCCTCGCCGCGGCTCCGGCCGCCGCTGCGCCCGCTCCTGGTGCATCCTCGTCCGACGGCGACGCCTCCCCAAGTTGCCATCCCGCCACCGGTTTCGTTTTGGAAGCAACCGGTTTCTTTTTGGAAGCCACCGGTTTCTTTTTGGAAGCCACCGGTTTCGTTTCGGAAGCCGCCGGTTTCGTTTCGGACGCCATCGGTTTCGTTTCGGACTCCACCGGTTTCGTTTCGGTCGCCATCGGTTTTGTTTCGGACTCCACCGGTTTCGTTTCGGAAGCCACCGATTTCGTTTCGGTCGCCATCGGTTTCGTTTCGGACGCCACCGGTTTCGCTTCAGACGCCACCGGTTTCATTTCGGTCGCCACCGGTTTCGTTTCGGACGCCATCGGTTTCGTTTCGGACTCCACCGGTTTCGTTTTGGAAGCCACCGGTTTCGTTTCGGAAGCCACCGGTTTCGTTTTGGAAGCCGCCGGTTTCTTTTCGGACGCCACCGGTTTCATTTCGGTCCATCGGTTTCGTTTCGGACGCCACCGGTTTCGCTTCAGACGCCACCGGTTTCGTTTCGGATGCCACCGGTTCTACGTCCGTAAAGGCCTCGATAGACGATCAAATTCCCGAGCCAATTCCGATCAAAGTAGCATCAAAGTGTCGGGAGTCATCAATCTTAAACTCATCAATTTGTTTCATTTTAAAATGAAAACTTGGCAGAAATGTTTCTTGTGGCAGGAAATGATGAATGGTGGCACTCCGTTCTGATCTTACTTTGAACAAAAAAGTGCGGCCCGTCAAAATTTGACGGTAGATGGTGACCACCAGTCATCAGCATGTCTACTTTGATCGGAATTTGATCGTCTATGCAGGGCTTAAAGATTTGGCAGTGCGAATTGGCCTGGTTACACGATCAAATTCCCGTCAAATTCCGATCACAATGATGACCAAGATGGCGGTCGAGATTGATGAGTAAAATTAATTAAAACAGCGTGTTGATTGAAATAAGCACGGTTGTGTGGAAATCAGTTGAAGGATGAGCCCCACAGCTCCATCATCTACCATCAAATTTTTGCAGGCCGCAGAAATTTGACGGTAGATGGTGCGCACCAGTCACCATTTGATCGGAATTTGACGGGAATTTGATCGTGTAACCAGGCCAAATGGCTCACCAATCCATAAACGAATTTTGACCTACGAATACATTTTTCCAACGGTAAATGGCGCGACGTGTTTACGCACGTTTTTTTCACTTTCAGCACAAAATACTTTTGAATTGTTGCATTCAACATATCTGGAAATTTTTTGAAATTTTGAATATTTGAACGCATTTTGAGGCTTTTCCTATCAATTTCTGCAAATAATCACTTTTTTTTTACTTTCAGCACAAAATACTTTCGAATGAATGCATTCAATACGTCTGAAAAATTGTTGAAATTTTCATTCTATTTGGACGCATTTTAAGGCTTCCATGATAAAAATTTTAGAACACACTAACTGAATGAACACGGTGTTTTCATTTAAGACTCTACATTGAGAGTAATAATAAATCCTTAACGATAGTTTTTTCCCATCATCCAGAATTTCTGGGGGGGGGGGCAGATGATACTATTTTCAATTCTAGGGGAGGAGGGTAGCTAGGCCTCCCTGGACACCCCCTTCTACCTTCGCACGCCCATGCAGCTGTGATCGCAGTCCTAACTAATAAGAAGACATCGGTGCTTCGAACTGCATTTTCGACCAGTGGAAGGTTAAATGGACTGAGTTTAACAGAGAGGAACCAAGCCACATCTGCCATTGCCACATTTAACTGGGCAATTTAATTTTTTACGAGTGATCGTTTGTGCGGATTCCTTTGAAATTTTTAAGGAATTTGCTTCAAATTATGGAGAATTTTCACTGAAATTTGCACGAAAATCCGCATAACCATTTTCATGAAAAAAATTAACTTGCCCAGTTAAATTTGACAATAGCTGATGTGGCTTGGTTCCTTTCTGTTTAACGCGGCCCAAATAGCACCTATTATCATCCACATGGCCCGCATCACGACCCGCTGTCAAAGTCCTAATTTTTTTCGGTTCAATTTGGCAACGCAGCGAAGCGGCTGGACTTCGGTGGTGCCCTCTTTGAGGACTTGACTTACCTACCTCAACTTTTTTTCCGTGGTCCCCTCGCGCCGCCGCCGCCGGTGCAACGCCACGCACCCCCTCCCCCCTTCACCTCTTCGCGTGGTGCACCGGTGGCAACCGGGCTGCGCTGGAGCCGGTTCCTACTTTTGACGGAAACTCCCGCGCGATCTGCACAACGTTTCGACCATTTTTAAAATCGGTCTCCTTGAGCAAGACATCGGTTTCACTATATTTTCCCTCTACTTTAGTCTCGCACAATTTCTTTTAAGTTCAGCTTAGCGCAGTTTTACGACAGTGCAGACATATCGTCACTCCTATGACGTAAAGGCGTATCTCAGGTTCCACGTGAGCCTCGTTTTACGTATAAACCCATTCTTTCCAGGGTTCATACCGCTATCAAGATACGCTCTTACGTTAGAGGGGCTACGATGTATGCGCTCTAAAGAAAGGTGAAAAGTGTGCAACATTTTTGCCAAACTCAAATCGCCTTGATGAATTCATCGGAGAAATGTGTGGGAATGAAAAGTAGCCCAGTGTAATAAATTAAATCATTATGTTGAAAAACTAAGAATAAAGACAGATATTTAGTGATAAGGAAGGTTGACATTAATATCTCGGGGGGAAAAACTAGATGAGCATAGACACTTTCACAAAATTACGTGATTGAATAGAAAGATCTGTAGTTTATAAGAAAGAATCTATGTGCTATCTATCGATTACTTAAATGCGAAACTATACGTATCTTCATTGCTGTTTTTAAAAATCCCGCTCCTATTTTATTTCCTCGAAGGGAAATAGCACACAGCAAATTTTATATTTTCAAATTTATGCCCAATATTATATTAACTGAGAAGAAAAATCAAAGAAATTTTCAAGAAATTACGGTGACTAGTTTTTCAAAGTGAGAATAAAGTATGTCAGTAAATCTGTAACGTAGCAGACGAAGATACGTGGTTTCGCATTTTGGTCATCGCTATTATGAGAATGAATAATTTCTACAGAAGGCTCCTAAGAAAATTTACACGATATCGTCATTGTTCATCCATGGTTTTCGGGTCCGAATGAGTTAACGCGAAATGCTGTTTCATGTAGCAAGTGTACTTAAAAAAAGCAGAACACCGTCTACATACATGCCTCTTAATATGGTGCTCTAAACACTTTTTCCTCCTGAATCTCTTCTCACAATAACTGCAAATGAACAGTTTTTCTTGTGGACTCCTCTCTGTCAACTTCTTCGGGCGATTTGAATAGGCAAGCATGTAAGATGAGGACGATTTTCCCAAGTTCTTTTTTTCAAATTTTTCTGAGCTATTCTCGTGGATGAATAGCTTTTCTTCACTGTGCATTAATCGGATATGCCTACTGAGTATCCTCTTTTGTCTGAATAATCCACTACAGAAAGCGCAAGAAAAAATATGAATTTTTGGACGAAGAGGCAAGTGTCCATTTTGATTCGCTTTACAGTTGGGACGTGAACATACTTTGCACCCATGATTGGTTGTATTCCTGAGGGTTCTCGATGGTTCCCGAATTTCATTCCTCTTTTTGAAAATGACACCGCAAACAAGGCAGAGGTACCACAGATCAGTCTTTGAGTTGGTCGATGATGATCGTTTATCCTTTAAGGCGTAATTGTGGTCCAAACACACTGCCGTAAGTGCCTCGCTGGTTGGGATGCAGAAATTCTCTTTCATCTTTTGGATGACATCATCTAATTGATAACAGCTTGATGACAATCTTTTGCAAAGGCTGTAATCACAACTCTGGAACACATAAATAACGTTCGTCGCATGGAAACAGATGGATCGATCGATATGCTACTTTAATTGTATTCTCTGATTACATTTACCTAGAGCGTGTCTGAGGCACCTCTTCACTCGCTTAGTTATTTTGCAAAAAAGCATTAAGTGGATTTAAAATCAATATTTTAAAATTGAGAATAATAATCAATTTTAGAACAAACATGTTTACAACGCCGGGAGGTGCATAAAGGAATAAGTGCGGCAAAAAAGATTTATGTCTTTTTTTACATTTTAATAATATTTTTGAGTATTGCAATATTTTTTAAAGCGCAAGAGCTGATAAGAGGACAACGTTAAAAAAAAACCAACATACCTTTGATCTTGGCCTCGAAAGGTAACTCATTTTCAGACTCAGAAAAAACGGACATAACTGATCCAAAAGGAACGTGGGTAAACTGGTAAGTTGTAAATCCAGATTTAAGAGTGTTTACCTCTCTATTTTACACTGAGATAGAAAATAATGTAAATCAATGTATTCATGAACCCACGCACAATTCGACTAGAACCTGAAAACGATCGCACTGCAAGGTTGAACTTGAGCGGAGAAAAACACAAATATTAACTAAATGAATTGTTATGTCCTCAGTGATTATTGGTGCTTATCACTCTTCCTAGTAAAATGCAATAATTACTCTAATAACGATTTGCATTTCTCATAGTTTCTTTCTTTTTTGCTCCCACTGAAAATATAAACATTTCATTATTGTCAAGGCACCTTATATGTCGTCTCTCTCTCACATATTATGCCTCTCCCCAGCAAATCTGTTTCGTCATCTGTGTTATGTTTCGTCTTTATCACTCTTTATCACTTCATCTGGCAGAGAAATTTTAAACTATTACTGCCTTAAGAAAACTGGCATCTTACGTTGTATTCTTTTTTTTTCATACTTTGACGACATAGATCACTAACAATGCGCTGCCATGCCATAGCATCATACTGTAAATCCCTATGTAACTTTAAATCATCGTACTTTAACTAACCACAAAAAAGCTATATAGCACCTCGCTAGCAGTGGTTCTTGCTAAAATTTCTAGTTCGCGATTTTTGATTATTCTGTGNAAAATAATATTCGCGATTTTCCCAGTAAATTCGGTTTTTATGGGAAGAAACTTGGCAACGTCTGAAGGCTCATACGGCGTTCTTCCTTAGCACGGCAGATCTGGGGCCCGGCTACGAGACTCCTGTGCATCTATTTCCGGTCTGGTTACCGCGAGGGGCCTATCGACAGCTGTTCCCGGCGGCAGGGTCGAATTTGCAAGTTTCGCGCATGTAAATAGCGGGTTCTCGCCAACGGGTGGCTGGTTTTCGCGCGGAACTCGCAATTTGACCAAGTTTTGCATACGCGCGGCGTGCCATGGTTGAGAGACGGGGTTACGCGTGCATCTACAGATGGCGAGGTGCTGAAGGAGGATCCGATGCAGGGCATAAAACTTGCAGTTGGTGGAATTTGTGGTTTTACAGAAAGTCCAAAATTGAAGTATTGTGAAAATAGTCCTGGTACTGCCCAAACGGAAATTTGTATCGAGCAACTCTACTATGTTTGAGAAGTTGTTCAAAATCATGCAAGTAGTGACTTAAAAAAACCGTTAGGGTAATAAATACATGAAAACACATAAAATATAACATGCAAAAACTTTCACTTGTGAAAAAATGCACTTTATTTGATGTTGAGCAACCTTAGAAGTGTGTGACATTTCCTTCAATTATGCGTTTCTATACGTCAAACACTGATACAGATATATTATCTGGTTAGAAGTAGGCATAAAGTGGTGCAGTTATAGCTCTCTTAAATTGGACTGCATTTGGCAGTAAGGAACTACAATTTCTGGCTTATTTTAGAAACATCATATGTAATATAAATTTCTTTAAGTAGGTAGACGCTTACATCAAGGAGCCTGAAATTGTAGTTCCTAATTATTACAAAACGTGGTTCGATTATTATACTCTCTCTAAATGGAATTAGTCAAGTAGTGAGAAATTCAAGTACATCCACAAAAATGTTCTAAGACTAAGACGGACCAGCATAACCGCCATCAATTTCTAAGAAAACAGTTTTAAGATCGCGGTTTTCCCAAAATTTTGCACAGGGTTACATAGTCAGAAAAAGTGACCTAAATTTTATGCCACTATGTAAAATATGGCACAAAGTAAACCAATTGTATAGTTAATATCTTTTAATTGGTTAGTCTGTAAGTTACATTGACCAAAGCTTCGGGGTGAACATTTGCAACATTTTTAAAACTCAGGCTTAAACCTCCAGGATCAAACCTGAATCACGTTGGTGGCAATCCAATGCGCTAGCAACTTGCAAGTCTCAACCTCTTTGAGAGATCGAGAGAAACAACAGTACATTTTTAGTACAGCAGGAAAATTCCTTCATCTCCCCCGATATCTCAGTGTAACTTACGGCCTAGGTCGATTAAACCAAACATGTGGTCCAACAAACAAACCAGGTCATTTTGGTTGACCCGACCGAAAAAAAGTAACCCACAAAGATCCAAAGTATAACCATAAACACGGATCTGTTTTGACTGTGTAGTTTGAATCGCCAATTTCAAATTGCTGATTCTGAGACCATGCCGACCACCTGTACTGAAACATATGTAAGATTGAAACAAATTTCCCTTAAATTTAAACACCGAAAAAAAAAAGATGAGGATTTACTATTCTGGATCAGGGCCGGACTAAGGGAGTGGCCACATGGGCCGCGGCCCATGGCGGCAAATCGAGGGGGCGGCAAATTTTGCAATTTTTTTAAAAAAAAATCGAATTTTGAAAAAAAAATTACAAACTAGAAAAGGCGACAAAATCTCTTATTTCCTGAGAGTATAGTAATTTCTAATTTTGTTGTCTTTTAGTGATAAAAGAGACAGCACCTTTTATTAATCGAGTTAGGAGAGAAACCAAACACGCAATTTGGCCTGGAACGGCGCGACTTAGAGAGAAATGATGACGAGGACTTAAGATGAAAAGAAGAAGCCCTCGGCGCGATGGTCGGCATGTAACACATATTAGCGCCTACAAGACTGCACGAATACTTCACGCATTGCATCAAACACAGTGCGGTCACTGCGGTCAGCGTGAAACGGATAGCGCCTACAAGAATGCATGAATACTTCACGCATTGCGCCAAAGACAGTGCAGTCAGCGCGAAACGCTTAGCGCCTACAAGAATGCCTGAATACTTCACGCATTGCGTCAAACACAGTGCAGTCGGCGCGGCGCGGCGGCGGAAGTTAAAATCATTACACTACATCTATGTTTATTCATTTCTATATATTGTTCGTTCATTTCTTATGAATGGAAGGCCTTGTCCACACAGAGATAGGTTTATGGAACTTAACTTTCGCGCAAAGTTCCGTGAACTTTTGCTAGTAGTGTTGACAGGGCTTTCCCAAAAAATATGTCCAACACGAGTAAACGATTCTTATGCACCCCTCTCCCGCTGGCACACTTACTTGATGGTTTTTATTGATATTTCAAAACGAATGAGAAGAGGGCGGCAAAATACAGGCGGCCCAAGGGCGGCAAGTAGGTAAATCCGGCCCTGTTCTGGATGTGAAAAAAATATGCGAGAACTTACAAAACGCTGATTTAACCGCCACAGAAGTTAAAGTTTTACATCTTGGCATTGCTAAAATAACTGCTGCAGCGGTTAAATCAGCGTTTTGTGAGTTTCCCCACACTTTTTTACACCCAAAATGTTAAATCAGCATCATTTTTTTCCGGTTAATATAGCTCTAAGTTTTTTGTTATTATTTTTCATTTTATTTCAATTATTTTTGAGTGGGTATTTTTGTTTAAAAATTAGTTTTTTTCCCTTTACCTAATTTTACTGGAAAAAGAGATTTAGATCAACGAGGATTTCATTCTAATTTGTAAGAAATGTTATCAACCATTTTTTCGGTGCAGATTTTGTTCAGTTCCCTTCGGATGATCATTCCCACTTCTCAGACTCCTCGTGTGAGTTTGCGTGACGCGGGATCCAAAAGTTATTGACTCATCGGGCTCAGTGGGATGGGCGAACGAAACCAGTCGAGACTCGGCACTTAGAGAGAAGAAAGTGCCAGAAAGTGAGCTTGTGCAGCTCTGCACTTTTGCGAAGATCCGCGCTGCATCGCCTCCTGTTTTAAGATAAGCCGACCTTAAAACAAGTGGACCCGGCTCCAACACGGTCCGCGGCGCCTTTTCATCTTCGCGCAGTGGTTAACTTCATTTTTCGCCATAGACACTACCGATTTAGTGGAAGTTGTCTCTAAAAACCGAATTTGAGTTTGTGCGAAGAATATTGACCATTTGACCAGGTGAAAATTCAAGCATTCAGATACGCGTTAAAAGGTGTATCAGAATGCATATAGCAGAGTAGTTGAGGGGCTTGGAGGACAAGGCGCATAAGTGCAGTTTTTGAAAAAAAAATGGAGGTATAAATGACTTCAAGTGAAACTAAACTCATATTCTAGGAATGATTATCTCCAAATTTTCAATTTTCAAGCATCAAAAAGTCACTTTGAACTTTCTTTCCGCTGTTTCCAAACTAAGAACACGAATTTCTCGAAATAGCAAAAACTGCACTCATGCGCCTTGTCCGCGAAGCCCATTAGCCCTGCTAATATTCCACGTGAAGTACGATTTCCGCTACGAAAATTACTGAACTAACTTCCAGCCTTGGTATCAACATTTTTATGTAGCATTAGTTGTGAAAAAAATTGAATTATCCGCTCACGTGAAAACCGTGGTCTACTTAAATCAAATATCACACTGAAACGGTTTTGACAGGCTTCTCAATAAGTAATGTTTCTTCTCCTCAAACAACGTGCAATAGTCTAGCCGAATCGCTGATATTGAGGTCGTCAAATTTTCATAGTACAGAGACATTTAAGACGTTCAGTAAGCGATTTAACTCGAGTAGATTATGGTTTTCTTGTGAGCAGAAAGTTTAAATTTATGCATCGAAAAACTTCAATATCTTGAGTAGGAGTTACTTTCTTTGATTTCCGTTGTTTAAATCGTGTACTAACGTAAAATTTTGGCGGAAAAACATAGATCGTCACTTTTTAGCTAAAGTATCACAAGCGCCATACGACGCGACGTTTAAAAATTTCTGCCGCCATTTTATTTTCTCACGCAGAGAAGTTGTTGGTTGAATCTGTCTGAAAATTTCACCAAATTTTACCGACAGCACAGACAAATTTAGTAAAATTTTCGGACAGTTTCGTCGAACAATATCTCTGTTAAAAAATGAAATGACGGCGAAAATGTTTAAACGTCGCATAGCGCTTGTGATACTGAAGGTGACGATATGAAGGTTAGGTCATGGAGTTTTTAGGACCAAAAGGGTAGCCAACCACAATTAATTATTCAGAATGGTTTATAAAACATTTTTAAACGACGCATGGCGCTGTACAATTTGGTCAAAAGGTGACGGCAGGGTGTCCACTAAAACAGGCTACCAAAAAATCAGTACTTTTACAGTACTTTTTTAGCACATACCCAAGAAATTCAATACCTTTTCAACAAAAAAATTCAGTACTTTTTCAGTACC